GATGGAAAACATAACGCGAAATTCCCTGGCGAATAGATTCCAAAGTGAGCGTCGAACGGATCGCCAAAGTACCCTGGGGACTAGTGGAGTTTTATGCGAAGGGGAACAAAGGGTCCGATGTGTTCAAGCTAGCTCGCTGCTCCAGAGGACACCGTTGCATCGGCTTTCATGGGGGTTCAAATATGCATCCGTGATCGAAGACACGGATTAAAGATCAAAAGCCTGTATCTTCCTGCGACGCTCGATCTTCTGTTTTCGATGTCCTTGCCGACCTTGACTCCCGCGTAACAATAAAAACATAAAGAAGCGAATTCGAATACATATCCATAGTTTCGTAGTGACAATAATTCATGCGTCCCCTGTTCCTGTTGTCTCTGCACTTTATAAACCTTCATCCATTTTACGTGGGACGCGAGATGATCAAACGAACAACGAGATCTTTCTCGGATCATCTTCTTTGTCCCCTAAAGTTCACTATATCGGTTCCACGTATGAACGCACGGGGATTGTCGTTACGCGAGTCGATTTCGGGGTGGCTCGAAAATCGATGAACTTCTGGCAGCTCCTAGGACTAATCGTGATCGATGAGCCGGCGCGCACCGGCACGTGACTCGTGATCTATCGCGTGGAAACGGCTGATCGCGATATACGGCCGAGAAAACATTTCGCCCTTTCGTCAGGGATCATTTTTTTCTCCTCTCCCCAGACCACAGGATCTTACTTCCGCTCGTTTAATTCGTCGATGCGCTTTCTCGTTTGTCGATCGGAAAAAATACATGCGTCGAACGTGTATTAATATTACCAAGCATTCTTCGAGCGATGTTCCTTTTCATTGGCGTATGTTAGCGCTAACGTCGACGTGTCAGCGAATTCTCTCAGACAGCGAACGAACGAACGAAAATTCTAAAAGGGGTTGTAGATAATATCGAAACGTTCGTTCTCGACTGATTTTCGAAATTAGACGAATCAGGCCAAGAATGCGGAGGTAACTAATTGCTCCGAAGGCTCTAACCTACAGGACACGCATACCGACGTATTCATTTTTGGACGGAACCGAGTGGCTGCGACCGGTACGCGACCGATCAGGTAGAAATCTCGAAATTATAGCTCACTATATAGATGTTCCCGGCGACAGGGAAGCTCGTTAGCGAGCCGAGGAGTATCGATGGCCCTCATTAGGTAATCATCTTTTAATTAAGACCCGGTGGGGAGAAAGGCGCCGCCATTGCTCCGCAACCACCGTCGTGATTACCTTGCCCCACCGGTTCAACAGGCAGGTCTGTGTCTTTCGAATGGGACTGACATACAACTTGACGCACTCTAATCTCACGTGTATGGATAGGTACACCTCGATCTTCTGTCAGGTGCATTTTTAAGGCGGCGACCGTGCCGAGACCCCTCGTAATCCCCTTTCCCTTTGTGGCCGTAAAGGCGACGACGTATCGCCTTCTTCTAAACAATACGCGACACGTGTCCTTTCCTCTAAAGCGCCGACGGCGTTACTCATCGCTCAATGATGCCTCGCGTATGACGATAACCTACGTTGCATAACGAATAGTTGTGACTTCTGTTATCTGTGTCATCACAACTGTAAATGATGGACTCCGTGTTTGTAACCGGATATGCATTACACTTGCCATTAGTGCGACACACGTGAATCCAAGTTTTCCATTCTGCAACTGAAACATAAAATACGGTGACTAAAACTTTCGAATGACTGTCCATTAAGACTCTATCATATTGTTATTAGGAGAATTAATTTGAAATTCAACGAAAAGGAATCTGATCATAAGCGGTCTGAGACCTAGGAGTCAAAGATTAGATTTTTGAAAGGAAACGAATGACCGGAAATGACTGGGGAATTTCAACGAACCTCCAGACCCGTAGAATCTCCGGGATCCTAAAATCTGCAGAGATCCCCTGGGCCTGAGTCCAGTCGAAGAATGAAAATTTTCTGCTACGATACCCCTATCCCAACCCTTTCCCTCGCGCACGATTGGGAATGGATTCCAACATTGATTGTAATCTACTGAATCGTTATCTACGTAAGATCGACTTTTCCAGGAAATAATAATCCTAGACTCGCTCGATAAGTCTCAATCAATTGCGTCCAATATTGAGTCATTCACCCAAAAAAGCTAAATAGCAGATTTTTACACTGATATAAAATTTTACACGCTAATCTACGAATATTGAGTTTCAACGGAAATATATATACATATATATATTTTTATTGAGGATTACATTATCACGACAGACTCCTGTTCAACCATTGTTCGTCAAAACAGAAGCGTCGGAGACCGTACCGACATCGGGGACGTACTACAACCGACGTAATTGATTCGCAGAAATCGCAACTGACCTGCGGAGGATGAGTCTGCACCATAGAGGGATGGTCGACAAACGGTTGTTTGACGGCACCACCCCCATACCGTACCACCGGCAAACCTGGTATCGCATTCACGGTCCACTGCCTCAGGATTCGGCTCTCTTCCCTGCTTCTACGCTTGTCTCCTCCTCGTAAAAAAGAGGGAAAGAGAAGGTGAGACAGAGAGAGAAAGGGAAAGAGAGAGGGAAGAGGAAAGTGAAACAGAACGGCGAAAGCTACGCGTCGCCGGCGATCCGTAACCCTCGATCGTCGTGCTGAAACGTATCGCGCGGACGAAATATACTTAACAGATGGTTACACGAGCGACACATTTGTCTTACAAATCGCGGTTTCGAGATGTCCCTGTGCTCCCTGATACGGAAACGCTTCATCGATGCTTCTGGCCGTCGGCAAAGATTTATCGAGCAAGCTTTATGAGAATTATTTATCGGGGCGCTGCGGCCGTATAACGTCGAACGTCTTCTCCCGTTTATGGTCCCAGGTCTAGTCTGTAATCTGGACAAAAAGTTTACGGCGTTATAATCTCGTACGATAACTGCGAGTAAATTAGTGGAGGAATGAAACAGTTTCCTCTCATCATTTTTTTTCCAGATCGCAACGTGAATTCTCACGCGAAAAAGAGGTAGCGACGAGTAAATAATAGTTCTGAAATCTTCCTCTTTGAGGAAAATGCGTCTGGTCATCGAAGCGTGAACGCAACTGCAGTCGCATCACGCGCCCTTGGTATTCCAATACCAAGTCACGGATGAGACTGCATGCTAATCAGGAAATGGGGGACAGTGGCACTTCAAGGGGGTCTTCTGGACTGCAGCATCGGAAAAGACGCTTCTTCACATTTTTTCTATCATACGAGAAACTAATGAGATCGATAATTTTTTCATTTTCCAGACGCTGAATAGTAGTTGAATTTTTATTAACGTATTATCCAATACTATCTAATAAGCTGTTTTTAACCCCTTGACCTACAATATCGTGTCAGACTCGTGACAAACATTTTAAACTGAATTTGACATATCTAAGTGTTATTTACTTTTTTTTTATTTCTTAATATTTCTGAATATTTCTTTTGTATTATCAACCGTTACCTTTGGAGTGAACGTTGACATATAATAAGCATCAAAACTGTTTCTTTTTCCAATACATTATTAATAATGTTAGTTGTATTGACCATAGTTAAAAAATAAATCATAGGGCAAAGAGTTAATGAAACATCAAAGGAAACAGTTTCCTGCAACCACGTTATTATCTGTCTTATTCGAGAGGCAACGCATTGTTTTAAAAATAATTTATAATTACGCTGAACTGCGATGAAACGTTATTTTGATAGAGTGACATGGAGCTGCGCCGTGTGAAGTTATCTATCGAGGGAGCATAAGTCCTCGTCGCGTGGTAAGAAACGCCTGGGCGATATAAATGGCAGGTGCGCGTGCAGACAGCTCGAGGCGCTTACCAGTTAACCACGGGGTGGGCAAACTTTTTTTCTGAAAGAGCCGAGTAAGAAGCTGCGGGGATTTGCCGTGCCAAAAAGGGGTCACGCTATGCTAAAGCGAACGCAAGTCTTTTTAATCATCTTGTCAGGGAAAGTGTAATCCGCGAAAATCATCTGTAAAAATTCTTGGTTTCTCATAGCAGCCGCAACAGGCATCATTTAAATAAGAAACGGAAACATCAAGATCGTGAATATGTTCGGAAATAAGATATCTCGAATACTCAATAAAAGATTTATTATTATGTAATTTACTCTATCTATCGTTTCCGATTTTTGCACTTTATGTTTTATTATATACTGAGGTATCAGTGACTCTGACTTATAGTTTGCAAGATAACATGTAATGTAAAAGAATTTTTACAACTGAAAAAAGATATTGAGTATTAAAATATTAAAGATAGCATTACTAGAGCATCAGACTTAACCTCTTGCCCCGTGATTTTTTTCTCAACTCTGATCGATACGACTACTTTGTCATTAATAATTTATTGGAAAAAGAGAAAACTTGTAGGCATATTCTATGTCTATGTTTGCTCTTAAGTATAATTAATTATAGAAGAATAATATTTCCTTTGAATTCGAGCGAATCGAGTAATATTTATCTTTGTTAAATCATGTTGAAAATATTCACCACGAGTCTGACACGTTGTTATAAGGCAAGTGGTTAAAGGCACGCTAAAAATCACTATATTGTTTTCAGAATAGCAGCGTGTTATTTTAATTGTTAATATCTTGTAAATCGCGTTTATAAAATGTTTGGACATCACGTAACGGTAAGATGGTGATGTCGGAAGTACGCATTGGCTTTCCGCCAAACCGTGTGCGCGAACCATTAACGCGCGGGATTGCTTATCAGTTGCTGAGTCCGCGTTATTGCGTTGACGATGACCAACCGAGCAGCGACAGCAGCGGAGTTTCTGTCCTCATGCCACCTAGGTGCCCCCACGTCTCATAACTCGTTACATATCAGCTATAAATGATGAAAGCGGCGACATCCGCGGGAAATGTGTTACCACTATCGTGATATTGACCTCCCATTGATAATGCAACTATTTGCACGCGATAAAAAAGAATAGCCATGCGAATAAGAAACCATTCTCCCTCCACTGCACATGTATGTACTCAGTGAATAACCGTCTCTAAAAATAAGTAATGACAACAAAATAATTTGAATTAAAAGAAGTAATAAATCATATTTTGTATTCGTAGATCATTACAAGCGATACCTTATAATCGATTAATTGATAGCGTATCAACTTCCTTTGTGTACGGACGTTTCCAAAAGGAAACATGCTGTAATTTAAGTTGCATGCGGAAAAAGGTGTATAATGAACAAAAGAATAAGATGTATATTAAAATGTTATAATATGTAGAGACTGAGAATGAAATATGATGCTACCGACAGTTTATGTACACATTCCACACGTGTTTACTCTTTACGTCCTGAACTAATTGTTTACTATGGACTCTGTAATTATAGGTTACCGGACATTACAATGAAACATTCATTCTTATCTGCATTCTATTACACTTTTCGCGAGACTTACATCAATGGTAGGTCACGTTTCTTGTTAGGAATGAATAAAAACGTACGAAAGAGTTAAAAAATGACGAATAACAGAAGAAATTTATCGAAAGAAGAAGCAATAATTCGTAACCTGTGAACATTTAAATATGGTGGAAGGAACGCGTCGGCGGTACAGTGTTGCCAGTACGGAAGTGCTAGATGACGGTATTGCCAGGTTTGCTCCCTCCAAAACGGCGCGTGCATTGGCAGCATTGTTTTTTGGTAGTTTACAAATAAAATGGCCGATATATGAGGCTATTTTGTATGGACAATAAAATATGCAATTCTGTAAAATTAATGACCATCGGCCGCTTGTGTGTGTACGTCAAAGTATAGGTTCGGTGCCGCGAAATACGAGGAAAGAAGGTGAAGTGTAAGTGAGCGTGTGGGAGTGCCGTGAGAAGACGGTGGAAGTTGTCGTTCAAGACCCGTGGACGCCGCTGGCCCATAGACCGAAACGAAAAATCACTCACGGACTCTAATACATAGAAAAGTCCAGCGACCACCGTATTTTTTCCATTGGCGCGCGCTGGCGCGGCAACTATACGAAAACGACTGCAGATTTACGGAACCTGGTTTACAGCGCACAGGCCCCCTCTGCCGCCTGCTCCAATTCTTTTACCACGCTCGCCTCACCTCCTGAACACCGTGTGTTCCTAAGCTTAACAAAATAACACTTGGAAACACGCCGTGTACACGGTTCTTTTATGACACAGATGATAACCACTACAAGGTGTTGATCACCTTGCGTACATTACTATATGTACTTTGATTCTCCAGACATTTTGGACAATAAGAGAAGCCACAATATTAATGTATGATAGAACTGTTTTGAGCAGATATGATTCCCAATCTTGAAACCCAAGAACGAGATACTGGAGTGTGACGGGTACGTTTATTTAGAACCTTCCAAAATATTTCCCGCCGATCAATTCGTTGTAGTGGAAAGAAGTGGTGCAGACAATGCGTTGACAGAGACGGAGGGGCCAACGAGCACTGCATCCAGCCAGCCCACCCCCTCCGTTACTCCCCTGTCAAACATGTGCACCACTCCTAGTAACGTGGCAACAGGATTTGGGTATACCTGGTCCTTTGGTGGGCCAGGTGCTGAAGCCCGGGAAAATGCACAGGGTGAACTTACCACAAATATTAATTATGCGGTAAATAATAATCAAGACCAAGGTTCCAGTCAGAAAATACAAGTTGATATTAAACCTCCTAAGATTGCCAATAGTACGCATCGTAGACCAATGTTCACCATGAATGAAACCTGTCAACAGACCCCTACAACGCACCATGGCCATACAGCTGGAGCTCATAATCAAACGCATGGCACACTTGTCCGTGTTAAAAAACATCATGATGTATTTTCATTAACGTGTGACAAAGGAGGCTGTAATTGTGATGCAGCGCATCCAACGCCCGCACCTTCACTTTTCTCGAACACTTTAGTTTTTACCACAGCTGATAAGCATGCCATGAGTAAGCATTTCATGACACCCCTTGGACCATTACAACTTACAGCAGAAGAGTGCAATGAAATTTTAATGAAAAGAGCAGCAGCTGCCTCGAATCAAGCCAATGCAAATAACGTGGTAACGAGTCAAACAGACAGTACTGCTCATTTTGGACATGTTTTAACGCATGTTAACACTACACAAATCGAGACAAAGGTGAAGCAGCAACAAGATATGGGAAGTCAAGTCCGTGTTCCAAAGGAAAGGCCATATTCTTGTTCAGAATGTGGGAAATCGTTTCTCCTCAAGCATCATCTTACAACGCATGCAAGAGTACATACTGGAGAACGACCTCATGTTTGCGTTCACTGTGGCAAAAGTTTTGCACACAAACATTGTCTTCATACTCACCTGCTCCTTCATAGTGCAGATCGACCATACCAATGCCGTGAATGTAAAAAGTCTTTTACATTAAAGCATCACCTTGTAACGCACACAAGAGTACACACAAGAGATCGGCCATTCATTTGTCAAGAGTGTGGAAGATCATTTCCTCTAAAGCGTCACCTAGTGACTCATAGTAAATTCCATTCAGGGGAGAGACCATTTGTTTGCGAAGAGTGTGGAGAATCGTTTTCACAAAAGGATCATCTCACAATGCATTCGCGCTTCCACGGCAGTTTACATCCCTTTGTTTGTCATGATTGTGGTGCAACCTTCCAGAGAAAGTTTGAATTAGTGAATCACGGCCGTCTTCATGGGAGAGTTCCACACTCATGTACTGTTTGTGGAAAAGAATTTCTCCAAAAAAGAACACTGTTGGCGCATATGCGTTTACATACAGGAGAAACTCCATTTGCGTGCACTGTTTGTGGGGAAGCATTTCCTAGGAAGTCAGACCTTGTTACCCATTCTAAGATTCATAACAATAACACGAACACAGATGAGAAGTCGCTTATGTGCAGGTAATCTTCTAAGTTATACAGTATAAAATGATTAATCTTTGCAATCTTTTATACGTATAAAATTTTCTCACATATGCTTATGCTCTCCACTATTTCAGGGAATGTGGATTGGACTTCTCGAATCGAGAAGCCCTCACTTTGCACTTAAGGTTACATTCTGGTGATCGAACACTTGTTACTGACCTTTGTGGATTAGCGGCCGCCTTCCAGCAAACTCCTGGACATTTCCTTACCCCCAACACGTCAACAACTCACCAGGTACAACTTATAACCGCCTAAAATCCAAAACGTGACCGTTACAACTTATGGGTTTATAGATGAATGGACCCATTGGCAATCCCGGTGTCAGCCATATGCACGGTGCAACGCAAACATCACCACCTGTGGGTACAGGTCCAAAACCAAAACCACACATTTGTCCTGATTGCGGTCGTGGTTTCGCACAGAAACATGGTTTGTCTCAACATCAACGGCGTCACACGGACGGCAGCTGTCACATAAGATCGCACGTGTGTGATAAATGTGGCAAGGCCTTCTATCAGAAGAATCATTTGTTACTTCACCAACGCCAACACATGGATCCACCGCCAAGTATACTTCGGCAACAACAGAGGCAAGCTGCTCAAGCTGCCGCTCAGCAGGCACAGCAGCAGCAGCAGCAACAAGCGCAACAACAGCAACAGGTGCAACAGCAACAAGTGCAACAACAGGTACAACAACAACAACAAGTGCAACAGCAGCAGGGTCAACAACAACCCCAGCAGCAGCAACAACAGCCTCAACAACCGCAGCAACAAACGTGTACGGTTGACACAAAAACAATACAGCTGCAAGCTATACAGCAACAAGTGCAACAACAAGTTCAACAACAGGTACAACAGATACAGCAGCAACAGCAGCAGCAGCAACAACAGCAACAAGCGTGCTCTGTGGACACTAAAGCAATACAGTTAAATGTCACTATGTGAGACGATATAGAAAGTGGGGACTGGTTAGTCCCTGGAACAATAGCACTCCCAAATGCGCACCCTGCTGCCACCCTCTGCACGCACTTCTCTTGTACTAACATTACACATTAGATATATTTATTATCTCTAGAATCGAATACGAAGTAATCAATTTTATTACAAGAGTATATATACAAAGTATACATATTATATTCTAAATATGTAAGGCTTGTAACAAGAAAATAAAAATAACCATATATTAGTGTTTTACATATACTTTATATATCATTTACTCTAGATATGTAAAATGACTAAACAAATTAGTTGCCTTAATGAGACGATGAATTTTACTGAATATATTAACTATTGTTTGGTGAACTCTTTTTCTTTTTCATTTACTTTTAATTAGTAGGACATCACTTTATAAGAAAACGAATATTAATAAACAAACATAAAACAAAGAATTAAGTTTCTTTATGTACTACTGCTTTGTTGTTATCCTTCATGCTGTGCTTGTATGGTGGAAACCGAGAGAAACGTTTGATCGTGTGAGTGGTCGGTAAAAATGAGTATGTAGAATGAATATAAGAG